TGGCGAGCATGATGAAGGTAAGAGAATCAGATGCGCAGCCGTACGCCATGCTTCCCTTTGGTGACGTAACGTTTGGATGTTGAGCAAAGTGAGCAAGATATAAGAAAAATAAACTTTTGATTTGGTTTCAAACTAAAATATTTTTGTAAACAAGTGCAAATCTTGGGGAACGATATGCCATCTCGGAATAAGGCAGTCACCAGCATTGAGATGATGCCCATGAATTAGACAGCTAAATATCAGCGCAGCTCCCCATACGAGCTACATGTCCTCCAGAGCGAATTTTTGGTGTCTAAAAAGAGAGACGAATGCCGCAGACATTCACACACACAATGATAGCTTTGGTTGGTTTACACGCAAAGCTTCTTAACTACCATCTTAAGTGATAGCACTAAAAAAAAATACTCTGGCACATAGCCAATGTTTGCACCGTTGAGAATTATTACGCAGTGATCTTTTCAATAGAGTCTTGACTGAATAGAACTTTTTTCTATGACAAAGAATGAAAGAAATCGACCAACGAGAAAAAAAGAAACGTGATTAATAAGGGTGGCAAAAGCTCCATGTTTGACACAAGCCTTGCAACTCCGATTTCTAGTACACAGGAAAGACCATCAAGGGGACGAACAAAACACTTGAAAATATTGTACAAACAAAACAATGTGCAACACGAGCTGCAAAACTTTCGTTGAAATGCTACGAAGCTTCACAGAGGCTTGACTGATAGAGTTTACTAGTCTTCTTATCTGGACTGTTTCACTTACAACTCTCTTCGTGTTATTTACCTGTTGGTGTACTATTTCTGTTCATCCATTGCACACTACAATTATTGCATTCGTTCACGTGTTTAGCTAATTTAAAATTTGCAGCATTATTCTTTAAATTTCTTTTTTTTCTAATTCCATTAACTTGCTATTGGTACACCCTGAATTTTATCATACCCACTTAAAACCACAAGTTAAACGTATCCCATAGACTGCTACAATTTTGCACGAGACCGACTTCTTACGGCGTTTTTTTTTTTGTGTGTGCGTGTGTGTGTGTTCACTCCAGCTTGTATGAAATGGCGTTATTCTACATTCTCAAATTTAATACAAATAAGTATGCCAGCGCAAAATAAAAAAAAAGATGAAACGAATAGAAGTAGAAGACTCACACGCAGAGCGCCTACTGGCGACCCTAATTTTCTTATAACTAAATACAATACAAGAAAAGAAAACAAAGAAACCGGGAAATCTAATTTTTTCGCCTCGCGTCTTCCATGTTGTTTCTTTTATTATCATCGTGCACCGACTCGTCCAAGTACACACATTGCTATGAGTCTTATATTCCTCAAATAAATATTTGTATAAGGTGCCTGTGAATTCCTAACTGATGTTGCTTCGATCTGATGCGCTGTATTGTTCACTGTTTAGGAAGGGTCAGAACATTAAACATTTCTCAACATTTAAGCGTGGTTTGTGTTATTTTTCTCTCGTTGGTAGATTATTGAGGTTTCTTCTGAAGAAAGAACAAAGTAGAGCATTACCCTAGTGCAATATATGAGTGAATTAATTATCAACTAAGAGGCGTAGTGGGTCGACGCGTTTGAGTAGCTGACATTAATCTTTCCGAGTTTCTTTGACACGGCTCCTCCCAGTGGTCGGCCCTTCGTCGCGTTCGCCTTCGCAAAACAGATGAAAGTGGCTTAATGTCAGCATGTTTAAGCGGTATGCTTCGCGGTCTCAGTGATTTACTATCATTTCTATCACTGTCCTCCTGATCAGCATGGCAGCAGAAGGGTCTTCAGGTCCACTTGAGAAGTACTCTGATCGACAGGAGTGAGAACGTGTGTAGGAGAGGCGAAATCACTTTCCTTTCCAATGGGCTGGAGGGCGGCGTTCCGGCTTGTTTTCGGTCAGTAGAGAGTTTTAGTGAACCGTTCCGATGTCTCCAATGTAAATACCCGATACTCCGGCGCTGCCTTCGCGCGTGCATTGTGGCGTTTATCGGGAATCGTTAACGAAGGTATCGGAACGATCTACTAAAACTCTCTTGTAATGCTGCGGGCTTAGTTTGAAGCTCCATGCGGCTTGCGACCACTTCGGCTGCTTTCGCTCCAATGTCATATGTTTCGCTCACTAGGTATTTCAACCGGGGAATAAGTGTCAAAACAGGAAGTCCACTGGTGAGCTGGCTGTTAAACATCATCATCTAAATCCTGAGACAAAAAGCAAACACTTTTAGCATGTATGCTCATTCCGACCCCAGAGTGGTGAGAATATGTAGCGATTTCGGGGTACCTATCGGTATTTTGCCATCGGGAGATGGAATTATATAATATAAATTGGCGCATCTTGGGACTTCTAGTAGCGGGGTCGCTAAGGGTACTGCGTCGTTGTGTGTTGCACATTTGGTCAGGGTCCAGGACTTTCAAATAATCAATTGTCAATAGGTCATAGAAATTCTTTTTGGATTTATACTAGGTTTTATTAGTTGCTTATGACTAATCTGTTGCGATACCGATTATAGAAACAAATAGAAAATTCAAAAATAGTTGAGGATATGTAAAAGTTTTTATGAGGTTGATTTCTTGCTACACTCAGTCTCATGAATTACGCGGTGAGAGATGAGGGGAGAGTTTATGAGTCCGATAAAAATGAGTAGTGTTTTTTTTTTATTCTGCAATAGGGGTAATTCTTTCAAAATGTATGGTCGTGTGCTTAGTGTATGACGATGTTTATATAAAGTTGGAATACATCCTAAGCAAAAACGTTCATTTTAGTCGAAATATAAGACACAAGAAGTGCTGTTACTGATTTAAAAAAAGATAGACAAGAAGAAAGCAAACAATTCATCAGAAATACGCCGATGGCAACCGATACTTAAACAATGAGCCTTTTTTTTATTGTATCACAGTCGTGTTTATTGCTTTTGCCCACTAAACAGTCCACTGCACAAAAGCCTTCCAACAAGTCTTTGAGAGCTCTCCTTGTAAATAATTGTGTCTCACGCAACAGATCGTCGTACAGACTATCTGGCTGAATGTTAGAGGCGAAAAAATTAGGCAATAGACTGCGCAAATACATTAGCTCCAAATTTAAGACAGAGACATAAAGGTCTAGAGCATCAACAGAGTTTTAAAGGAGGCAAACCAACTACTTACGGTCTTAGGACGAATATCTGGCTAGCAAAGTTGGAGGGCAGTCATCTAAAGCTCTCTATTAGATGTTATTGAATATAAGCATACCGTCAAAGTGGTGTGGGATGGGATACACTGGAGAAAAAAATACCCGAGCGTCCACTCAAATACGGCGCGTGGTCGGCGGTGGGTCACCAGCTGCCACAGCAGACCACTACGAGCGCTTGCGTGCACGCTGCTGTGTCGCCCACAGTACAACACACTCATTGGAACGTGCGCACGCGTCACCGGCATATAAAACGAGGTCTCACGACAAGATTAATTGATGGTGGCACATGGGTGAGACGGAAGATCCAACACAAAATTCTCGCCCGCAATATAAAATGTGTGTACCACCAGCAAACCCATGCATGTGTTGTTCAGCTGCTCCTCACGGAAGAACCATGGAAAGTAATGAACCCCTTATAAAAAAGGTCATCAAAAGTATCTGTAAAATTTTGAGCATTTAAACCTCCAAGGAACGCGAGATTTAACGATGTACAATAAATGTCAGGCAAAAGCCCATTTCAAAGGGAAATAGAGGAATAGGGCAGTCTATCATATATAAAGGCGAAATGTAACGGCTGGCCGTTGGAAATTACTATTTTGTAGCGGACGTCGGAATCATAATATAAGCAGCAGTGTGGAAACCATCAGCGTAAATTCAGTATTCTTATAATCAAGGGGAGCACTGTCCTTTCGTTGTATAAACACTCGCAATGTAAAATATTTCTGTACGCCGCCACGGTAGAGGAGCTCGTTCAGATGATTAGAGCAGGATCAAAATAGACGGATTTCACTAAGCGTTCCACACATGAGTTCCCCCTTCATAACTTGAGTTCAGAGGAGGCTGGCGGCAGTACACCAGACGGCCAGGCCGTCACCTGACCTGCGCGCGCAGAGCCTCCGCCAGTTTCCAACACATACACAAGATTGAAGTTCCCTAAATGTATAGCGGCAGCGGTGGCTTAATGAAATTGGATAGAGAAATCGGTTTCTTAAGGTTCCACACGTTGCTTCCCTACTACTAAGATACGCGTCCAAAGAAAGCACTTTCAGTGACATTCCGGGCATAGAAGACGCCATCTATTTGCCTGTTCCGAAGTTTTAGATCTACCGAAGGAAATTATAATTATTGATGATAACGCACTACTAAATACCGGTTCCACCCTCCTTATTGCCGCATATTAAGAAAGCCTTCAGGTTGCGTACTTTGTAATAGCGACTCTTCCAACATGGATTTAAAGGTAATCCCTGACTGAAGTCGCCAACACGCCCAGAAACCTGTAGATATTATTGACTATCGGCAGGTAGTTTCGTACCAGACTGCCCCTAAAAATATGTTTACAAATGACCGATGTAATAATTTTTGTGGTGCCTGTTTTCCATATTGATATCCCGCGAATTTTGGATGCATTTCCCATAGACCGTAATGTGTAGATTTTCCATATTTACCAACCTTCTGGAATTTCGCCTTCGCGCGATATTCAAGCTAAAACTAACGACTGCATGGCATATTACTCTTTCTTAAAGATCACCCTAGCACTCCAGTATAATATGGAGTCAATATCAACATTAGTTTTAAAGCAAATTATGCCATAAACTTACATTTTGTTAGGGATCGAACTACTAGTATACTTGACAAATTAACATTCCAGTTATTGAAGTAAATAGCGGAGAATGTCTCTAGTCTGGCTCAAGGCGACTGAGAATTTAATGTAAACCGGTCTAGAACTCGTGATCTCGGCTATCGCACTACCTTATTGTTACGGGGCCCAAATAGGTTACGAGCTTTATGTATGCTGGTTTGTTTTAATTATTAACGTTTATTACCAATTAGGTCAACATGCGCTATGAAGACACGTCAGGTCCGAACATACAGTTCCTGCTCACATCTATTCAAAAGGAGCAGGTTGGTGTCGCTTTCACAATATTATTCTTGATGATTGCTTGGCCCAGCCGAAAGCTTTAAATGTAATATAATATATTGGAAAGCATTCGTCTGCGCACATTCGGTAAACACTTTAATATGTGCGTCTCTTTCTAGGGATTTGCGCGAACCTTCGAGGATGACGATATTGGTTGGCCAACCCAAAGAACCTATGCGGACGCAAACGATACCTATAAGCACCTTCTTGATAAGTACGGAAGAAGTCCCGCAGATATTACGGTTGCTGTGACCGGGTAAGCATAACAATTATTACAAATTAAACAATAAAACAAGCGATAAACTAGTACAAGTTTAGGAAGTATGTGAGCTGTTAATAGATAAAGAAGATATTTTTCCTGAATTTAGCTAGATATATTAATATGAAGTTAAATGAATATATACAAAACCCGTTGTATTATTTTAGTGCTAATATTATAAGTCAATATTTGTGGTGGAATTAAAGTATAGCTTCTGGTTTTGGTACAGGCGAGATTGAGTGAAATTAGTAAAACTCAAAATAAGCGCACAGTAGGAATGATGGCCATCTGGTTGACACAAAAATAATATAGAGGTTTAGTATAGCGCACCCCTAAGTTTGCCCAACGCCGCCGCTGCAGGCACCATACAAAAAAACGTGTTTTATTTTTTTCGGTGCTCACGCAATGCTTTAAAACAACGTGTTTACTGAAACTTGCCTCCAAAACTTTGCATCACTGTATCGAGGCAAAAAATGTGGAAGTGGGCTAAAGCCAAGACCGACCGTGTTCGAAAATTGTGGCTCTCTGAACCGCGGCCGAATTGTGAGTCACGTTTGACGTGTCCTCGACACTGCGATTTTCGATACAGAACCACATTTCTCTCCCACCGCAGAGCAATGGACATTCCACAAACTGTTTCGCAAATCCCACTAAAAAAAGCAACAATCGCAGGCAGCTTGCTGCTGGCGACGGTTAAGGACCTTTCGGCGAAGGTCGGTAGAAAACCGCTCGAATATGCCACAACCGGTCGACGCCCGTGTCGCATTTAATATATATATATATATATATGTATATATATATATATATATTCAGGACTAAACACTCATTTTGTATAGTAGAGTATTTCGTGTGTCAATCAATAGAACCTTTGTATCGTTACAAGTTAAAAGTGCGAAATTCTTGGGTTTTGCCGTGTTGCATAAAAACGCTATTCTAAATATCTATATATCAACGTGCAATCACATTAAAACTTTATTTAGCGCTAACGCGCGGTGAAACTTGGTACGTGAATCTAAAACTCCCAAATAATACATTTTGAAAAGGCATAAAGTGTTAAGACTAATCAAACGCAAAACAAACAACAAAAACGAGATACAGTCAAAACTAGAAACATACCCAAGTCTTGATGATAAAAATTTATTAAATAAGGCTCTGGCCACAAATAATAAAGTGATAAAGATCCCGACGTTTCGACGTCAGCTCAGCCCTTTGATCACAGGTAAGTATACTTCCATAATCGTCGGATTTCATAGGGCGCGGTGTTGTCTTCTTTTAAAGGGGTTGTTTCTTCGCGTATGATGCTGATGACGTTTAACTCGACGAGCCCCGCATTGGGCATCGTAAACCAGACCCGTAGGCGCTTGGAATTGTCCCAACTGATCGGTTGATGTTTTTCGTTTGTGTTTTGAAAGTGCCGAGACTCTCAGAAAAGGCGTTTTCGCTAGTTTGTTTCTCCGTGTCACAAATAGAGCTGTAGATTCAAATAATGTCCTACTGAACTCGTTTTATTTTTCTGAGGGACTACACAAGAATGAGGACATTAAAACTACGAGGAATGTTCCTGCGTCCTAACCGGGCGCTGCTCGCAAGGCGTCTGCCCTCTTCTCCTCTCACCTCTCTTTCCGTGGGGGCGACTTGAGTTTTTTCGTCCACCCTCACGGAGGTCTGGCCGTCTGGCCCGCAACCGGGCCCCCGAGCTGGTGTCGGGTATCCCCGGTGCGTGCCAGCCTCTTCCGCGGCTCGAGGGAGCGTGTTGCGGGGAAGACGATGCTCTCGCTGCAAGCCTCTACATCACCCCCCCCCCCCCCCTAGTGGCAGAGAACGCAGAAAGGTGGCACGAGCAGCAGAACTTGAAGTTTATGGTTTACGCAGGGAGAATTGAAGCCTGTCCGGGTAGTGAACTCGCCGTCCGGAGCGTGTGGTTCTTTCCGGCTTTCTCGAGATAGGAAGCACTCCCTGGTCTTGCGCGGGTAGAGAAGCCGGTGAAGAACGAGGCGAAGAATTTGTAGCTGGTGGAAGGATGGGGAAAGGGAAATCGGCGTCGGAAGCGGTGTTTACAAAAGCGGGCTTCAGGCGGTCGGTGGCGATTACTTGGTTGTTTCCCCTGATTGTGACCGTGAATTGTTTGGGTCCCCGTTTTACGACCTTGTAGGGGCCGTCGTACGGTTGTTGGAGGGGAGTTCGCACCGCGTCGTGTCGAACGAACACGTGTGTGCAGGTGCCGAGATGTGTGCTGCCGTAATTGTCTCGACGAGCCGTTCGAGGTGGGGTCGCGCGTAGTCCTTCCATGGCGTCTTTTCGGCGGGTCACGTAGCTTATTGGGTCGGACAAGTCTCTGTTGCTGGCTGATGTGAAAAATTCGCCAGGCAATCAAAGTGTAGTGCCATAGACCAACTCTGCTGTTGTGCACGAGAGGTCTTCCTTGAGCATTGTCCTGACACCAAGAAGGAGGAAGGGCAGAACGTCAGTCCAGTTGGTACGCTGGTGTGCTTTCAAGGCTGCCTTCATTTGCCGATGGAACTGCTCAATCATCCCATTGGCAATCGGATGATAGGCGGTTGTTTTCGCGTGCTTTCATGCGAGCAGGCGCGTCAGTTGAGTGAAGAGTGACAATTCAAACTGGCATCCGCGATCGGTCGTGATGATGGACGGTACTCCGAAACGTGAAATCCAAATTGACACAAAACCGCGAGCGACGGTTTCGGCAGTAATGTCCGAGATGGGAATAGCTTTCGGCCAGCGTGTGAGCCTATCTATGCACGTGAGGATGTACCGCTGGCCTTGTGATGGTGGTAGCGGTCCGACAATGTCAACGGGGACCTGGTCGAACCTTTCATCAGGAGTAGCAAAGGTGGAGAGGGGCGTCATGGTATGTCGCTGGATCTTAGCTCGCTGACAGGATATGCACTCTCGAGCCCACTGACGAACATCGCACCTCATGCCGGGCCAAACGAAGCGAGAAGTGACGAGGTGCTGTGTTCCTCGTATGCCCGGGTGCGATAGCGAGTGCAGTTTCTCGAACACCATTTTACAGAAGTGTGCGGGAAGAAAGGGACGAGGCGCTCCCGTCGACATGTCGCACCACAGAGTTGCGTCATGCATGGGCAGTGGTACCTCGCGCAGCTCCATCGAGTGCGTAGCTGTGTGCAGTTGGCCGAGCTCGGTGTCTGTTTTCTGAGCAGCAGCAAGGGTGGCGAAGTCCAGCACTGGACGTTCAGCGGCGCCGATGCAGAGGCGTGACAAGGCATCCGCCACCGGGTTGTCGTGGCCGCTCACGTGTCCCATGTCCGTCGTGAACTCCGAGATGTACGACATTTGGCAAAGCTCACGAGTTGTGTGGGCTTGGATATCCGACTTCAGCTATCGTATTGTGAAGGTCAGTGGCTTCTGGTCAGTGAGAATGAAGAAGCTTCTTCCCTCCAAGAGATGCCGAAAGTGACAAAGCGTCAGATATGCGGCGAGAAGCTCTCGTCCGAAGGTGCTGTATCTGCGCTCGGTGGGTGACAGTGTCTTGAAGAAAAAGGAGATGGGCTTCCAGATGTCGTTTTGCCATTTGCTGAAGGACCGCTCCAATCGCAACTTCCGAAGCATCCGTCATGACGCACAGCGGAGCGTTGTCCTCGGGGTACACCAAAAGGGTTGCCTCCGCGATGTCTGCCTTGATTTTGGTGAACATGCGCTCCGCTGTTGGATCCCAGTTCAAAGCGGCTGCCTCGCCGGGCTCTTTTTGAGGCATTCTTGCAGCGGTTGGAGGGTTGTTGCGGAGTGGGGGACAAAACGCTGATAAGAATTTACGATTCCGAGGAACTCCCGCAGCTGGCTTCGTGTTGACGGTCGAGGAAAGTTCCGGATCACCTCAACCTTCGCGGGAAGTGGACGGATGCCTTGGTGGTCAATGTGGTGTCCCATGAACTCCAGCTCACCTACACCGAACTGACACTTGGCGGTGTGGATGCTGATGCCGTAGCTCTTGAGACGCTCAAACACAGCTTGGAGGTGTTGTTCGTGCTCGGCGGGTGAGGAGCTTGCGATGAGGAGGTCGTCGACATAGGCACGGCAGAAGGTTAGTCCCCGGAGTACCTCGTCGATAAACCTCTTAAAGGTTTGGGCGGCGTTCCGAAGACCGAACGGCATCCGGACGAATTCGTATAGTCCGAATGGCGTGATGATCGCGGTCTTCGGCACGTCGTCCGGGGCGACAGGGATTTGGTGATAAGCGCGCACCAAATCAATCTTTGAAAAGATGAATGCTCCGTCGAGGTTGGATGTAATGTCTTGGATGTGCGGGATCGGATAACATTCGGGAGCAGTGACGCGGTTTAATGCGCGGTAGTCGCCGCATGGTCTCCAGTCTCCGGCTGTTTTCTTTTGTACCATGTGCAGTGGTTAGGCCCATAAGCTCGACGATGGTCGCACGATGCCCAATTTAAGCATGTGCTGGAATTCCTGTTGAGCAATTCGCAGCTTGTCAGGGGCGAGACGACGCGGTCGAGCATGGACGGGTGCTCCGGTGGTTTCAATATCGTGAGAAACGCTGTGCTGCAGAGGGCGTTCGTCACAGCCAGTGCGCGTCAATTCCGGGAACTCGCGCAAGATGGTTATGAATTGTGTTGGGGAGTTAGGGATGACATGCGCCGGAGCTGGAGAAGGCACTGCGGATGATACGCCCGACACGGAGAGGTTAGTTATCGTGTCGAGGAGACGCCTTCGTCCCATGTCCACCAAAAGTCCGAAGTGTCGGAGGAAGTCCGCACCAATGATGGCATGTTGCACGTCCGCGACGACGAACACCCAGCGGAAGGTCCGTCGGAGACCGAGGTTCAAGGTTAGCGAACGCTCACCGTAGGTGGGAATTGCGTCCCGTTCACAGCTTGAAGCTGCGAGGTGCTTGACATCTGCTTGTCTTTAGGTGTTGCCGGTAGTATGCTGACCTCGGCACCGGTATCCACGAGGAAGCGGAGCCCGGTGTCGCGGTCGGGGACGTAAAAGAGGCGTTG